CACACCACACCACAGGGAGGGGGAGGGGAACCATTGGGGGGGGGCCGGCCGAACCGGGATCATATATATATATATACATCCATACATCCACACATACATACATACATACATACATACATACATACATACATACATACATCCATACATCCGTACATACGTACATACATACATCCATACATCCATACATACGTACATACATACATCCATACATCCACACATCCATACACCCATACATACATACATACATACATACATACATACATACATACCTACAGACATACATACATATACACTCAAGATGTGCATATGTTGGATGTGCTCCGCTGTTTTACGACAGTATACCTGCTGGCAGGAGACTGTCCAAATGCTGACACGGCACTGGGTTTTCGTCGACGCCTTGGGCCGACTGGAGACGGAGGTGAAGGGCCCGGGTCATTGGGCCGCATTCTGGCTCGGGGCAAAGGTATTGGGACTCTTCAGGAAGGGTCTTGGTAGTCAGCCCGGCGTGAAGGGCATGAGAGCCCCTCGAAGAAATTTGCGAGGTGCTTGCTGCGTTTTTTTCGGATGACAGGTGCTCGCGGTGTCACCCCGGTGCTGCCTCCGGGCGGTCAGTGGGTCTACGAGAGCGGAACGCGCCTGAAGACTCCGCATGGCACAATGCATGGAAGCACCCCGGCATTAGATGACGTAGGAGTGGCTTCTGCTCTTCTTGAGAGTTAGTTGCTTTGGAGCCACGTAGGGCAGTCTCTAGGCAGACTTGTGTCACGGACCAGGCTTCCAGTTCGAGATTTTGAATAGCAGCCAAAGGCGGGGGCGTAGCAGTGCCTGCATTCTGCATGTCGGGAAACAGGTCTGCCCTAAACTAACATGTGACTGTGGAGCCACTCGTGGATTCTGTTGAAGTTTCCGGTCACGTCAACGTCCGAAGCTCCTTTCTCAACGAAGACAAAACCAAACGACTGCTGAGACTATTCCTGTATCAGGCTCGACAGCCGCTCCTTCAGCGCGCGTGTGGCCGAGACCAAAACCTAGAGTGCCTTCCTGGAGTTGCGTCTTGTTCAGAGCTATTCGAGATACTTCAAGAGGTGTTGGCTCTGGGGATGCTCAAGGGCAAGGGTAGCAGGATCAGCATTCTAGTAGGTCAGTGCCCAATAGAGTGCCTACATGGCGAATTCTTGCTCCACTCTTCGGCTTCTCTGTGCCGGAACATCAAGGTCAGGTCAGGTTAGGTTGTCGATCGACCATGACAGCATCGTTTCGGCTCTAAACTTGCACTTGCACCCGATATGGCGAGACCAACAAACCCTTTGTCCTAGTTGAGCTTCAGTCGGGTTCAGGGGTTTCAGTTGTCTTTGTTTCAGGGTGCCTCGCTGGCTTCTCGGTTTGGGCCTTCAGTCCTCATGCCTCGCTCTGCCGTACTGATATTACAAGTTGAAGCGAGGAGAAAATGGGCCGTCAACAGCTAAACGAGGCGACAGAGCTGAACGCCATCTCTTCACGACTAGGTCGGCCGCCTCACACTGTCGGAGGATGGGCGGCCAAAGAATGTGCCTTGCGTGTCGGAGGCAGAGGAAGGCCACAGTTCGAAGCTGTGATTACGGGGGAGTGGCTTCTTGAACAAGGAATGAGGAATCATGGGGTCTTTTGAGTTCTGTTGCGTCGGGCGTCTACATCCATGCCATGCCTTCCTTTATGCTGAGTCGGAAAACACTTCTCGGTTGGGGTTGTCTTTACCGTAACTTACACATATCCCATGCTACCACTGCTGCTACTCCTCCTACTGCTCCTCCTACTCCTATCGTTCCTCCTCCTCCTATTACTACTACTCCTCCTCCAACTACTAATACTACTACTACTACTGCCACCACCACTAACCACTACTACTACTACCATTACTACAGCCCCCACAACCACCACCACTACTACTACTACTACTACTACTACTACTACTACTCTTACTACTCTTACTACTCTTACTACTCTTACTATTCTTACTACTCTTACTAGCCTTACTACTCTTACTACTCTTACTACTCTTACTACTCTTACTACTCTTACTACTCGTACTACTCTTACTACTGTTACTACTCTCTACCTACAACTTACTACTTACTACTTACTACTTGATACTTGCTACTTACTACCTACTACTTACTACGTACTACTTACGACTTACCACTTACTACTTACTACTTACTACTTACTACTTACTACTTACTACTTACTACATGCTACTTACTACTTAGTACTACTACTACTACTACTACTACTACTACTAGTGCTGCTACTACTACTACTAC